TGCGGACTTCTGTCAACACGTAGCTTTTCGCGAGTAACTGATAAACTGATAGTTCGATTGATTGATTGTTCGATTGATCGATCGATTGATTGATGTTTCTGTAGTCCCAGGTTGATGACTCAGAACCAACAGGCGTGTGATTGATTAAATGATTGACTGACTGATTGACTGATTGACTGATGGACTGATGGAATGATGGACTGATGGACTGATTGACTGATTGACTGATTGACTGATTGACTGATTGACTGATTGACTGATTGACTGATTGACTGATTGACTGATTGACTGATTGACTGATTGACTGATTGACTGATTGACTGATTGACTGATTGACCGATTGAGTGATTGAGTGATTGAGCGATTGAGCGATTGACCGATTGACCGATTGACTGATTGACCGATTGACTGATTGACCGATTGACTGATTGACGGATTGACAGATTGACCGATTGACAGATTGACCGATTAAGTGATTAACCGATTGACCGACTGACTGATTGACTGATTAACTCATTGACTGCTTGACTGATTGATTGAATGTCTTACTGATCGATTGGTCAAAAAATCTGACTGAATGATTGAAGATCTGATTTATTGAGTGCTTGATCGATTTAATGTCCTTTGACCGAATTTCTGATATTGATTTTTCCCCCTTGCTTGTCCCCAGCGCCCAGCCCAGGACTGTAGTCCCTGGCTGTCGAACCAGAACCTTCAGAGGCTGACCAACAGCGCTACCAACCTGACCCACATCTTCCACCACCTGCTGCCCAACATCTTAATCAGCCGCGTCTCTGGTAGCCATGGTAACGTCATGGTGCGACAGGTAAGTCTGCTCTCACTTGGTCGTGTGAAGGGGTGGGGTAGGGGTGGTGTGATTTCTAGCTTTAATGAGAGATAAAGTTGAATATATGATAATGGAATCTTCTTTTAAAAAAGGGGTGTCAGGTTACTGTTGGTTAACTAAATACACACATGGCTGGCTAATGTCAATGCTAACCCTATCCCTAACCCTAACCCCAACCCTGGTCCTACCATACGCCTAACCTTCATTTCTAACCATAAAATTAGTCGAGATTCCAATACTACTAACAACCCAACACCCTTTTTTTTTAAAGAAGATTCTATTATCGGTCAATGGTATCTATAATCAGATGTAAATAAGTGACAAAAAATAACTTTAGTGTTAAGGGTCAGTTGTAGGTTAGATAGAAAAATAGGCTAGAATAATCTAGAATTTAGCGGAGAGTGCATGTGTGAGTTGAGTTCACCCTGGTGTGTAGTTAACCCCGGTGTGTTTATGTATTGTTATCCCAGGGTCGAATGCGGGTATAAAAGCTGGAGTGAGCGATTGTGAGGGGGTTAGTTGGTAGCGGTTAGGGCGAGGGCTACTCTGAAATGTGGAGAGTTGAGACCTAATAAAAGTACTGAAGATTGTCACGAATCGTTGTCTAAGTTGAGCTAAAACCGGGCGTAACACTTAAGGGTTGGGATATATAGTATAACTCTTAGCCCCCCCCCCCCCCCCCCCCACCACACACAATGCAAACAGTAACCATAGAATAAACCCATCTTTAGTCCTGATTATAACCGCAAATTTAACACCGAATATAACAGTGATACCAATATGGGAAAAAATGCACGGTAAGATACTAGATTTATATTGCTTTACTAGCTTTTACAAATAACAACTGGCTAGTTGTTTTTTTTAAAATTGAGTTCATTTATATTCAATGTGTGAGTGTGTGGGTGGGGTGGATGTGTGTGGGTGAGATATCAACAAGGGTGTTTATTTTTAAAAGTGAGGTCTGAGTATTGACGAAAAACTTCCGAGTTAGCCCAAAGCGCGAGTAAACTTAAAATGTGAGCACTTTTAAAAGTATTGAGGTTGACAGGTACTTTAGAAGTAGACGTCAGGTCTCAGAAGACAGTAGTCGAGATTGACGTCTGTAGGAAGTTACGGTTGACGTCAATAGACAGCAACAATGGACGTCAGAAGACACCAACGTCAGAAGACATCAGCATAGACGTCAAAAGACAACAACAGTAGACGTCAGAAGACAGGAAAAATGGACTTCAAAGACAGCAACAATAGACGTCAGAAGACAGCAACAATGGACGTTAGAAGACAGCAACAATAGACGTCAGAAGACAGCAATAATGGACGTCAGAAGACAGCAATAATTGACGTCAGAAGACAGCAACAATGGAAGTCAAAGACAGCAACAATGGACGTCAAAAGACAGCAATAATTGACGTCAAAGACAGCAACAATGGACGTCAGAAGACAGCTATCAGGCACGGCGCCAGCCTTGAGCCGTTCCTTTGGCCCGGCCCCCGTCTAATATCGTCAGCGGCCGCAACTCCGCGTTCCTCGCTTGACGTTCGAGTTAATTCCCTTGACGCTCCCCTCCTATTTATTTTCTCTGATGCGTGGGTGTGAGCTTCGTGTTTTTGTTATTTTGTTTACGTGTGTGTGTGTGTATGTTTGTGTGTGTGTGTGTGAGTGGGTGTGTATATGTGCATATGTGTACGCTTCGTGTTTTTTTTTCGTGTGTGTCTGTGTGTGTGTGAGTGAGTGTGTTTGTGTTTGTGTGTGTATATGGGTGTGTATGTGTGGGTGTGTGGGTATGTATATGTGTGCGCTTCGTGTTTTTGTTATTTTGTTTACGTGTGTGTGTATGTGTGTGTGTGTGGGTGGATGTGGATGTGGGTGTGGGTGTGTGTGCGTGCAAGCGTGAATTTTATTGCTGACTTCCCGATGAAGATTAAGCTTAGCTTAACCCAAGTTTTGTCACTTGTAAGCGATTTGCTTTCTTGATTAAAGAGTAGTCAGGTTTTAGCGCAATTTCCATACTGACAATTGCGATTATTAATTCGTTATTTCTGGATGGATGGATGGATGTGTGTCCGCAGCTTTAAGTCGTATCTCCTCCTCAACGAAGCAATATCGAGGACTAGTTCCAAAGCAAATATGTTAAGCAAGTTCCGAGGATGATTGTGGGCCAAAACAATTCCCGGAATTCCTTCCTGGATTTCCCGGAAAAGCCAAAAAAAAAACTCGAAAAAATGCAGTTTTTGGCCCATATCTCGGCAACCAGACCACTTAGCGACTTGAAAAATTTACCAATCGATTCCTGTCATAATTTAGAACAATATTGCCGAAGAAAGTTTTCAAAAATATCCTTTCGTTCGGTCACAAAAAATTGTTATGGATAACATAAGGAAATTGCGCTTAAATTGTCACTAGACTTTTTATTAACTTGTTTATGGTAAAAAGAGTTAAAAAAAGAATATTTTAAAATTTTCGTTTGATTTGTAGGTTCTAGTACTGATTTATTATCTCCCAGCAGTTATATCGTTTAATGTAGGTGTAGGTTGGTTTAAGGTTTTTGTTTTCGTTTAAGGTTAGGATCAGGGTAAGAGTTAGTGTTCGTTTAAGAATGTGATTAGAGTTTGGTTTAGCTGATGGATTTGTTAAAATGTTTTGTTTCAAAATGAGTGTTTTTACTTGGGCAACAAGCCCAATTGAACTGTATCTTTTAATGTGTAAGAGCTATTCTTGATCTTTCGTTTGTCATCAACAAGCGACAAGAACAATCAGCTGATAAATATTGGAGACAGACTTGACAGCAGTTTAACAGAACACTGACAGCAACGTGAACAGAATAACAAGATCCTGGTGACACACTGACACAGCTGACAACAGGCCCTTCCCCCCCCCCTCCCCCCGCTCTGACACTAACACGAAGATACGGCTGACATACTGTCATCGGCCTGACATCACGGTGTGTAACACATGCACATCTCGATGACATCACTGACAACACACTAAAATAACCGTAAACCGTGACATCTTGATGACACCACACTGACATCTTGATGACCAAACACTGACATCTTGATGACCAAACACTGACATCTTGATGACCAAACACTGACATCTTGATGACAAAACACTGACCTCAACTTGACATCGCACTAACTTTACCATCATATCTAGATGAAGCTGAAATCATACTATTACACTGACATTACATTACCATGATATTTCGATGAAACCAACATCAACCAGACATCACACAAACATCACCCTCACGTCGCACAAACATCACCCTCACATCACACTAAACATCACCCTGATAGTTCTAAATAAACCCACCTATTCACGTAACGATAAAAGTTCGTCCTTAAATAAAATAAAAGATCTACCCAACGACTTAAACAACCACCACCCCTTCTATTTACGCACGTCGTCGTGTCAGTTTGACACACTATTTTTCCCTCCGTTATTGACGTCTGCCCCCCCCCCCCCTGCATCTAGGGCACGTCGGTCGCTACATTTATGACCACTTTCCCTCCATTTCTTTCTGCATAATTAATTAGGTAATCAATATTTTACCAAGGCAGCCTTTGGGCCAGCACAGCGATGTAATCTTGGTGGGAGGCAAACACAATCTACACATACTCGTGTGTGTAAACACGGCTGTTAAACACAAATTTAAACAACACACGGTTTCTTTCAGAGATTTGGCTCGGGGTGGGAGGGGCATTTAAACTTGTGAGGGTAGAGTTATAAGATTAGGTTGTATTGTATATATTTAAAATATATTTATTGTATCTATTTAAAGTTTAAAATATTATTCTATTTCGTTCGTGAGATGGGGTATGCGCGTTGCAGCCCCCCCCCCCCCCCATTCCCCACCAAGAGATGCCTGAAAGAAATGCTGATGTAGCTAAGCCTTGGACTATAGTACCTCACTAGAAGGTTTAAAAATATTTGTGATAATGAGACACCTATTGACTTTTTGGTCAATTATGTATGCGGTATCAACATTTTATAACACTTACCTATGGCATTTTGTTGTTGTTGTTGTTGTTTACATTCAAAGAACATTGTGTAGCCTCGGGATCGCAGGTCGAAATTTTTACAAGATTATCTGCTATATCTTTTGAAACAAAATCAAACGGACAATAGTCCGATAATAGCAAAAGACCGACAAAGACAAAAGACCGTCATGAAGAAAATGCCGACTGGACACACGGCAGAAAACAAAAAGGTCGATATCCAAATAGCTGACAGCAGCTTAGTCCGACTTAGCCATAAGGCCGACATCTAACAGGCAAACATCCTACAGATCTCTTGTACTTCACCCCTTTAACCAGGTTTGAAAGGATACAAAAATGTTACTTAAACTTCTTTCGCCCCACTTGTTCACCCTACAACTCCTTTACGTCGATATTTCCAAATTTTCAATACCCCTCAAGCTTAAAATAACTTTCGAAAGCGTGAAGTAGTTTATGAAACTGTTGTTTTTTTTAAATCTATTCTCAATAACTAAATAAAGGACGTAATGAAAACTGTTCACAATAATTCTCTGTCGCCCTGTTATAGTTTATCCAACTCTTTTAAAAGTTCGAAAAAGTTAAAGCAATTTGTAAAGCTATTTCTTTTTTTTCTAAAACAAAAATCATTTTTCAGTAACCAAATAAAAGAAGAATGGTTCACAAACTTCCTCTGTCGTCTTGTGATTTAGTTTCATCCTGCTGTATTAAATTTAAGAAAGTTTAAAGGCATTTGCGGGGTGATGCCCTACGTTTCTAAAAAAAATCCATTTTCTACAACTAAATAAGATATAATGAAACTATTCACTAACTTCACCTAACGGCATGTGAGTTTATCCTACGAAAGATTAAAATTCAATTGTGAAGCAATCTTCTACTTTTGTTAAAAAAAATTTTTATAAAAAAAAACACACACGCAAAAATCGATTTTTAATAACTACAATATAGGTAATGAAAATGTTCACAGATTTCAATTTTATGACCTGTGTTTTATTTCATCTAATTATCCTGAATTTAAGACAGTTTAAAGTAATTTGTAATGCGATTCTCTACTTTTCTTTAAGAAAAAAATCAATTTTCAATAACTAAATAAGAGGTAATGAAACTGTTCATAAACTTCCTCTAACTGCATGTCAGCATCCTACGAAAGATATGGTAAAAAAAAAAAGAATAAATAAATAAATAAAATAAATTGATTTTGTAATAACTAAATGTCCACGTTCCAATTCATCCAACTATCCTAAATTAAAGGCAGTTTATATTCATTTACGATCAAATGTTTTAGGTCATTTGCGAGGCGATGTTTTAAGTCATTTGTTAGGCGATGTTTTAAGTCATTTGTTAAGCGATGTTTTAAGTCATTTGTTAGGCGATGTTTTAAGTCATTTGTTAGGCGATGTTTTAAGTCATGTGTTAGACAATATTTTAAGTCATTTGTTAAGCGATGTTTTAAGTCCTTTGTTTTCTATATCCAATAACATAATAAAGGGCGATAAAACTGCTCACAGACCTCCATGTTTTTACCCGTATTTCTTATCTTCTAACTCTCCTACATTTAAGAAAATTTCAAGTCATTTGCGAAGCTCTAAAATTTAGTTTCCAATAACAAAATAAAGGGCGATAAAACTGCTCACAAACTCTCTCTATTCTAACGTGTTTCAGTTTATCAAGCAGGAGATGGACGGAATGGGCTGGTATGTCGAGGAAGATTCGTTTCAAGACCAGACCCCTTACGGAGAAATCGCTTTCACCAACGTTATTGCCACGTTGGATCCTTCAAAAGCCAAACGAGTGGTTTTGGCCTGCCACTACGACTCGAAGCTCATGCCAGGTAATGCGCCGTGAACAATTCAATTTCTCGCTGTTTTATTGCCTGTTTGGTAGTTGGAAAAAAATGGGAAAATGGTTTGGGTTTTTTTTTCTGTGAGGGTAAGTTTAGTAACGATTATGGTATTGAGTGAAGAGGGGGTGGGGGTGGGGTGGGGAGGGATCATTGGACGGTTATTGCTCAAGCGGATGATTGCTCAATCTGGTTTGTCTTGAGGGGTGGGTTAAATCAAGCAGGATGGTTAAATATGTTATAGGATGATATAAGGGGAGCTGGGTGTCTATAACACTTTAAAATTATGCACAGGATAGTCAGGGTAAGTAAAGCATGCTTGTCTTGATAAGGGGAGTAAAAAATGCTGGTCTTGATAAGGGAAGTAAAGGATGTTGGTCTTGGTAGGGGAAGTAAATGTTGCTGGTTTTAGTAGTCAGGGGAAGTAAAAACTGCTGGTCTTGACAGTCAGGGGGAGTAAAAACTGTAGATCTTGTTAGTAAGGGGAAGTAACGGATGTTGGTCTTAATAGTCAGGGGAAGTAAATACTGCTGGTCTTTACTTTGAACACACAATCCTTGCTTGTGCCTCGCCTACAGAAACATTGAGCTAATCACACAATCCTTGATTGCTTTGTGTCATGGGCTTTACTTCATACTTTTTATTAGTAGTTTCAGAAGAGATGAAAAAAGAAAGTTTCGTATAAAATGCAATTTAAAAACAAAAAATTGTACTCGAAAACAATCGTAGGCTAAAAAAACCGGGAGTGATCTCCCCTAAACTTTCTCGAATATTCTTATATAAAACAACAGGGGATGGGAACTGGGGATATAGTTATTTTTTTTAATCCATTTTAAATACTTAAACTTTTTAAAATAGAATAGAATTTCATAGAAAAAAGAATTGCGCACCAAGCGAACGCCTAATAAAGATGTTCATAATAGTGCGCAATATTATTAGTACTTTATAAATTTACATGCGTATTTTGAGAAATCGGAAATAGCGTAAATTAGTACTTCCGGTCAACGGAAATTACTCAAAATAATTTGACAGAAGGTAGAGAATTAGATCTTTTACTTCCATGTGAAATTCCATTTATCTATCTAAAATGGTACTCAAGTTATAGGCTTTTGAAAAATTCAAAGTAGAAAAAGTACCACTTCCGGTTATCGGAAATCGCTCAAAAGTTGATAGGGATCTACGATTTTGATAAAATACTTTTATGAAATTTTATCAACCTAGCTGTAACGGTACTCAAGTTATCGTGTTTACACACACATACACACAGACACACACACAGACGCACAGACATACGGACAAGATTGCAAAATTATGTTTTTCCTTATCAGTGAGGTGTAAAACGTCGAGATTTGCAAAAATCTCGATTTTTTTTTTTTTGCACGATTACAAGACTTTCTCTATACTTCGTATATACGAGAAAGTAAGAATTGGAAATTTTTTTTTACACGTTTTTTTTCCATAGAATTAAAATTCGCGGGAAAAAAATGCGTGTTAATTTTTTTATTTTCCCTGTCACAATTAAACTGACATTCTGACGAGCGCGATATTTGAGCCAGGTTGTCCACCCTGGAAAAACCCAGCATTTTTAATCACAATCTGCCTTGCTAGAGGCACTGATCTCCCCTTAGTCTGAGAAATATCAGTAGTTGCAGTGGGATAGGGAAACGTACGCATTTTATTATTTATCTGCTTCGTGCTCGCGTTCGTATCCTGGATATTTCTAATTCGAAACGCATTTAAGACTGTGGAGGTAAATGTGTTCCGAATTACGAAATTCCCAGGGTGCGAACGCTACTGATTTAAAAACTTAAGAAGGCAGGTCAAGTAGAGTTCGTCGGTTTCTGCTATCATGTCATCAGTGTTTCTTTCAGATGTTTTTCTTAATTTTTTTGTTTGTTAGGCGGGGTCACTTGAAATTTTTGCGGAAGATGGGGGTGGGCTTACATCTCCAGGATGGGTGCGGACACTGGTAAAATTATATATCTTCTATATAATTAATATATTGTTCTGCCCCCTCCCCCGCTCTACCGTTTTTGATAAAAACGGGAGGGACTAAAAACTCATCTGGACTACATAAAACCTTGCGGCGCCACTCTAGCACCGTATCAACTGCACTACTGAGCACCATAGTGCAGAGTTGGCGCATGGTACGGATACGACTAATGTGTTTATAATCTGATTTAAGACAAGTTTGCTGCGCATAAAGCTGGTATTAATGGAGACGGCAGTAATGGCTAATCTTTTTGCCAGCCGTTAATGTGTTGTATGAAAATTATTTTAAAAAGGGTGTTTGTTTCGTTTAAAATAATCAATTTTTAGTTAGAGATTATTATTTTTTCTCGTTTTAAAAAAAGAAAAACTTTTTCATTAGTAATATTGTCTTAGATTTTAGACAATTTAGTTTAGCAGTCAGTATCTTTTTCAAATTTTCGTCATTATATTTATATATCTAGCTTTTTAATTTTAATTACATTTTAATTAATTTAAATTTTTACTTTATGGTATACTGTACGTAGCGGGAAGTGTTGTAATAGTGCAAAAATCGAAATCAGAATTTAACTATTCACCTTCCTGCAACGGAAGAAAAACAGTTTTGAAATTGTGTCTGTATGTTTGTCTGTATGAATGTATATAAACACGATAACGTGAGTACTGTTTCATTTGGGTGGGCAAAATTTTTCTATATAAGTATTAGATCCTATACATTGGTTTCTTTAAACTTTTGTGAGCTATTATGGGTAACCGGAAGTGGCTGTATACGCTGTCCCAATTCTGAATACTGTTAAATACGAGAAAACATAGGAGATCACTCCCGCTGTATTTTTAATCGTTTTATAATTTTTAGAACTCTGGCATTGCGTGATGCTGTGTAGGTAATAAACCTATTCATTCTTTGTTGCTGTATTATTGTGCGCTATTAGTTTAACCGTGCATTGTAATCGAACTTCGCGTATCGATAACAAACTCACTTCGATATGACAAACCAAGTGGGATGATATGGGGGAAAAAAAAGGGGGGTGTATGGAAGTTAGGGGATGGAAGAAATGGGAGGCGTAAACGAGGGGGTGGGGGGGGCACAAACAACCTTAAGTAAAACACAAAACCCTAACCTTAAACCAGCGATACTAAGAATTCAAATACGTGAGGGTACGGCTAACCAACATGATGTTTCCATGTGTGTGTGTGTGTAAAGCTTGGTTCCCTGTCTGTTCTGCAGGCTTTGTTGGGGCGACGGACTCTGCGGTTCCCTGTTCCCTGATGATCGAAACGGCCAGGTGGTTCCAGCAGGTTCCCGATGATGTTTGGAACAATGCCGTGAGTACTCACTGTGTGTACGTGTGTGTATATACCGGGGTCCCTGTACCGTGGGGTGACTGGAGGGAGGGGTGGGATGGTGGAAGATTGAGAAGGGGTGGAGGTGGGAATAGTGGTGGGGTTTGGAGGATATAGTGAGGAATAGGGATGGGTATGGGGGAGGTGTGGGAAATAGGGGGTATAGGGGTGGGGAATAGGAGGGGTTTGGAGAAGTTGGAATAGGGGTGGGGTATGGTTGATGAGGGGTGGGGTTTAGGGGGGGTATGGTGTAGAATAGGGGTGGGTTATGGAAGTAGGGGAATAGGGGTGGGTATGGAAGTGGAGGTGGGGGAGGCGGAATGGAGGTTGCAAACAGCTTTTCTAAATTAAAATCAATATAAATACAAATATTGGCAAGCCTTATCGATACTTCCTCTTGTAACTTAGTACATCTTAAACCCAGCCCTAACACAATCCATAAACCTTATCCCTTATCCGAACAGCTATAACGGCAGAAATAACTTTAATGCTATTTTACCCTGCCAGCAATCACAGAAAACCCACGTTTTAACAAATAGAATACAAATGAATATTACTCACTAACATTAAATTATGGTATTTCATGTGAACGCTGTTCAAAACTTTTGAATGTTCTTTGACTTATACGATAGAAGAAGAGTCATCAACTCTACGAACTATCAGCATGGTGGATAGACTCCTGATTCCCCATCTGTAAAAAAATAAAATAAATTAAGTTCCCTTTTAGAACGTGACTGTTCATGGGGCAAGTCAAGTAGAGTTCACCTGTTTTTATGACCTCGGGATATGAAGGCATAGTGTGGTCAGCACTATGTCCAACAGCCTTTCATTACCTAACCATAGTTTCCAATTGTTCTTTTTAAAGCGTTAAAGTAAATTTCCGGCTGCGTTTGTTTTTTATACGAAGTCTACATTAGCACTTAACGTGATAAAACACGCGAAGTCGAGTTTGTTTGTCTCAATAATCATATCATACAAGTTAATATCAGATTCGCCTTAACACACCCCCTCCCCCATCATAGCAATCTACACATTTCCATCCCACCACCAACTAATGGTGGGTACTTACTTAAGCTGAGATGACTCAGGCGCACTTAAGATCTAGTATTCAGGATCGTGGTGCCGTCCGTTATTTTCAATCTTTTACGACCGAGCCATTCAATCGTTTTATCGCCAAAATGGAACTAATACAATAAAGGTGAACAGAGACGTTGTCATGGTAACACACGAACCGTTCTTTTTTTTTTTTCAAAGGCACCTGACACTTTTCATCTCTGACCGGACCATCGCCGACATTAATGCGAAATCGATGCCGAATTTACCAACTTGCTCCAGTCATGGAGCCTGGGCTAACGCGGTATCGATACTTTTGGATTTGCTCGATACCACTACAATAACCCACGTTGCCACATTGGGTTGTCGCACTAAACGTTGTTAGACTAAAAAATGGGTTGGTGCCCTTAAGTGGGTTGGTGCGGTTTTGAATGGGTTGGTGGCCTTAAGTGGGTTGGCAGCCTTTTGAGTGGGTTGGTGGTCTTAAGTGGGTTGGCATCCCTTTGATTTGGTTGGTGGCCTAAAGTGGGTTGGCAGCCTTTTGATTAGGTTGACTGCCTTTTGAATGGGTTTTTTGGCCATAAGTGGGTTGGCAGCCTTTTGAGTGGGTTGGTGGCCTTAAGTGGGTTGGCAACCTTTTGGTTGGGTCAGTGGCCTTAAGAGTGAAAGTGGGTCGATGGCTTTGTAAGTGGGTTAAAAATCTCTAAAAGTTCGTTGAACTCCTTAAAAGTGGGTGGAAACCCTTCCAATGGTTAATACTCTAAAAACTATTGATATGCTTAAAAAGGTTAATGACGTGAAAAATGGTTGACAACCTCAAAAAATTGTTGGTGGAATTAAAAGTGAATTGACAGCCACAGGATTGGGTTGATAGCCACAAGTGTGGGTTATAGCCACAAGCGTGGGTTGATAGCCACAAGCGTGGGTTGATAGCCACAAGCATTGGGTTGATATCAAGCGTGGGTTGATAGCCACAAGCATTGGGTTGATATCAAGCGTGGGTTGATAGCCACAAGCATTGGGTTGATATCAAGCGTGGGTTGATAGCCACAAGAGTGGGTTAATATCCATAAGATTGGGTTGATAGTCACAAGCGTGGGTTGATAGACACAAGCGTGGGTTGATATCCACAAACTTGGGTTGATAGCCACAAGGTTTAGTCGACAGCTACTAGCGTGGGTTGATATCAAGCGTGGGTTGATATCAAGCGTGGGTTGATATCAAGCAAGTCCGGTGAAGCCGGACAGCGTGTCGCCTCATACGTCCGCCATAAAAACGGCCGTCGCTGTCACTGTCATGTAAGACATGACATTTACCCCCCACGTGTATCCGGGCGGTGCCACGTTTGTCATTTACAGATGTCATCGTCCGGATGTAACGATGCGGCGTTCGATTATTTGTTCTTTTTATTTTGTGTGTGCTTTTTTTTTATTGCTTTATTTTATTGCTTTATTTTATTGCTTAATGTTATTCTTTTTTTATATATGGATAGTGAGTTATATTTCTCTAGATTAACTTTATTTCCAATAATGTCCAACAGTGAATCAGAATTAAGGTCTAACTAGAATAATTAGAATACGAAATTGTAATGTAAAAAAGAATCTTTTAAGCAAAATAGAACAGTTAGTTTGTGATTTGAAAAGTAATGTGTATGTTGTGACATCTCATAGATCAATTATATTGTTTACTATTTATATATCTTTTTATTTTATTTTGCATGATAACTACTTTGATACTTACAGTCCGAGTCTCACGTTTATTTAATGGGGGGGGGGGGGGGCGGAGATAGAGCAGAAGAAAGGTTGAGGGGGGTAATTGTAGCATTGTTTTATTTCTGGTATCGATACCCTAACTTTTGGCTTAAACCTCTTCCTGACCTTGATCGTAATCTTGAGGACCAATCCTAACATCGATACTGACAATAGAAAAAAATCGATACCTTATTTTATTAACATGACGAATATCTTTTAGTTCTATTAGCCTGGTGTAAGGGGGGGGGGGGGAGGGTTGTTGTGATTCGTTGTAGTAACAGTTAGGATGGTGGGCAGTGCCAGTTGTACTCTAGAGCGAAGGAAAATCTTGAGTTCGGATCACCGGGCTCGAGTCCAAAGGACATCCCTGAGCCCACCCAGCTCTGATGAGTACCTGGCTCACGTTTGGGAAAAGTAACACCGGCTGGGCCTAGAACTGAACACACGATTCCTTTCATAAGCTGAGATCACGGAAACACTTAAACTCTACTTTATCTGGCTTATTGACCGCCAGGTCAGAAAGTGTAACATTACTATTTTGTATTAGCCTTTACTCAGTTACTACTATATACCGTCTATTTGAAGCTCCCCAATAACGTTGTTGCCAGTATATTGTTTATGATGAGTTGTGTAGCTTTTCAATCCATAATTAGACACAATTTGTTAAACTCTACCCCCCCCCCCACCCCCACCCCCACACTTCACGCCCACGCAACTAATCTTGCACGTGTATGTCGTTCGTAAAAAAAAGATATCACGTGGTATAGGATGTCGTAAAAACCGTGTCAAATTGCAATGTGGGATGGGGGGGGGGAATCCTTTAATCATCTCTTCACTTTAAAAAAAAATTATGTCCACCCACATATCCCCCCCCCCCCCACACATCCCCCCCACCCCCACACCTCCACACACCCACGTCCCAAGAGATTGCGAGGAGCGGCTTCAGGAATACCTTTGATTGCCACCGTGGGTAAATTAATCTTAGCCTTCATGTCCAGTTTTTTTGTGCGGGCGTTATGACGGTGTTAGGGATGGGTCAGCTTTGTCTATCAATCGATTTTTTAAAAACTGTTACTGCTCTTACGTGGAAGATACGGAACAATTAACAGTATTTGTTTTAGATGGTTTTTTTTGTTTGTTTTAAAATGATAAGTAATTTAAAACTAAATGGGTGCTAGATACTAGGTGGTTTTTTTTTAAAGTTTGTTTATTTATTTTCGTGTTAGGGGTCGTCCATAAATGACGTCACACTCGTAGGGGGGAGATAGGGTCTGTAATTTTGTGACGGTGTGTGATGAGGGGGAGGTGGGGGGGGGTTCAGATGGTGCGACGTCACACTTGTGCATTATAAAAAAGCAATGTTAGAAAACGAGTTTTAGATGTTTTTCTGCGTTTTAGAAAACTGTTTTAATAAATTGACGGAGGGGGGGGGGGAGGTAAAAATCGTCAAAAAAGCGTGACGTCATTTATGGATGACCCCTGAAGACTATGTCAGTCTAGGGCACTTAAGCGCGTCAGGAGAATCGATTACAGAATATCGATATCGATATCCATTTAATGTTAAGACTTAGCTTTAAGTAGTGGTGGCAGTGGTCGATAATTCGAACTAAAATCGAAAACTTCCAGGAAGGGGGGGGGGGGTGTAGGCGGACAGTTACTGTCAGAGGCGTAGCGAAGGGGGTGGCGGGGGTACATATGTCCCCGGGCGCCGACCTTAGGGGGCGCCAAAATGGGTTGGATAAACAAATTGAAAGTTTGAGAGGGGGGTGCAAATTGAAAGTTTGAAGGGGCACCAAATTGAAAGTTTGTCCCCGGGTGCCGGGAAGGGTCGCTACGCCCCTGGTTACTGTAGCAGTGAACGTTATACTGGACTTGTCCCCCCCCCCGCGGAGAAAGGCCTGAAGAAAGTACAACAAACTACAACAAACTCAGAGTCCTAGGAATTTTGGTTGTTATGGAGAGTTAGAGAATGATCAGCTGTTTTCCCTTATGCCGTATACGAAGAATATCAAACGAGTCAGATATAAATTTATAACAGTATTTAAAAATTTCATTTTTAAAATGAGAAGAAAGTATAATGACCCTATTATTAAATTATTTTTTAAAGACATTCAGTTTTTTATAGAAACGTGGAATTATAAGAAGAAAGGACCGTCACTAACAAGACAAAAATAAAAG